GAGGCGCGGTGAAGAGCAGGAGTGTTGATAAGATGCTGGATAAGGTGTTCTTAATTGTCTTTGCAGAGTGGCGGGGACCGGCACGGCACACTAGGAATGGACACAGCACCCACTGTCCTGTCCCCAAGGACAACTGTAAGTACTGATATCTGTGTGTCTGTCTGTCTCTCTCTGTCTCTCTCTCTCTGTCTCTCTCTCTCTCTCTCTCTCTCTCTCTCTCTCTCTCTCTCTCTCTCTCTCTCTCTCTCTCTCTCTCTCCCTCTCTCTCTCTCTCCTATATGGAAATATTAAGTGCACAGTTAACACTATTTTTATGCTATATTTTCAAATGTTTAATGTGAAGAACTTATCTTGTTGAATTGTGTTAAGTTATGGCATGAAGGGCGGGGGGAGGGGGAGGAGTTGGGGGGGTGTTAAGTGTTGCAGCAGAAGGGAAACAGAATGCTACGCCGCACAAACTAAGCGCCACGAACGTTTGCTTGACACTGTCTGTTTTCGGAAAACACGCAAATGAATAAACGGTGAATATGTTACGCATACCTAAACACCTCCGCCCCTCCTCCAACACACATACACATAATCAATTCCCTCTACACACATATATATTGGCAGCCCCCCCCCCCACCACACATACATACTAACAGCTCCCACACATACATATAAAAAGCCCTCCACATATACATATAAACAGTTCCCCACTCATACATATACCACCTACCAGGAGATAGCCTCTGGCTACCTTCTTACCACACCTTGACAGCGGCTTGTTTGATGGAAAGATTACAGCCACCCGTCTACAATTGTCAGCTTAGCAGAGAGCAAGGTCACCTGACGCGACCTGACCTCTGCAACCTGTGACCAATTAACACTCAAAAGGTGTGACTTTTGAAATGCTAATGGCAGACAACCTGGCGCCGCCAATATCCTGTGTGACTAACTCTCGTGGTATATTAAATATTATACACAACCATTTATAGTGTTACATTGTCCAGTCCCATTGGTCTAATTCCATTATTCTAATCCCCTGGGTTTGATTTCCCAGAGGCAATTTGTCATAGGGTTGATCCTCCTGTGTTTGGGTTCGCTGTAAGTGTCGTTGATGTGTTCACACTTGCGGGTGGAACACCCGTGCGAAGGAACACCTCTCTCCATCAGCCCAAGTGTTCCTGATAGACAGGCATAACAAAAGATGATTGACAAGTTCATTATCCATCAGGCACAAGACCGGTCTTGTTCTTTATGGCGGGGTCCAATAGATACATCAGCTGTAGACCAGACTTTTACAGCGAAAGTAATCACAGAGTTGATGAATTAATTTCATGGTGACGTAATTTTTGGCTTTAGAGTACGAAATGGGATGAAAAATTTTAAACTGTGATAGATTATTTCCCAAATGACTCGAGAATGCAGTCGAGCTTCCTTTGTGTGTGTGTAGTCACGCTTGTGACAAAAGAATAGAAGACAGACTAAGACTGTTTTTACTAAGAGGGATGTGCCCTGTGTTCCTGTTGGGTTACACAGTTATAATATTTCTATATTACTTCTGCTTAAAATGCAAGCTGATAATTTTTGACTGCAGTATTTCCATGTATGTGTCAAACTTGTACATACCGTAAATTGGTTTAAATATTCCTAAATGATAAAGCGGTTTTGGAACTATTTATTTTCATGCTTCATTGTATTTACACTGCGTCAATTCAATTCAATTTCTTTCTTTATTATGCACCCCATACCCATCCCGTGGGCGGTGGTGTAAAGGATTACAGAGGCACATAATCGGTTCAGGAACTGAACCCTCTAGTTCGCTTAGCAAATAACAATCTTTTGACGCTAGTTACACAATTATTAATGTTATATATACATGTACACACTCTCATACATACCTGCACACATATATATATATATACGTATACATATATACATACACATACATATTTAATCACCCACACAAATACACACATCAATAATCTTTTGTGTGACAAGTGATGAACAAGAGGCTCACAACAGTCACTATACAAGACACACGGCGTCAGTTACCTCGATCGTTGCTACTGCATCAGAGATTATGTACAAATATATTATTTAGCATATTGAATCGTAAAGCTGCCATCTCTAGTATTTACCAGCTTTGTCCTTCATGTATTTACTCTCCATTGGTGGTGCTCAAGATTTGGTTGTTAGAAATGTTCTAAGATCAACACTGTTCATTTCGTTAAGACTGATACCATCACCACCTCGCATATTATATCTGTATGTCTGATGTGGTTCGAACGACTTTCTAATGACTTCAGCCTACAGTTTAGACTTATTGTCTTGTGTATAATCCTCTGTCCTGTGCGACAGGGAATACCAGCATTATCCACACTCTAAAAATACCTAATTGAATTCCTCAGATAAGGCAAATTTGTAAATTAATTTTTGTCAATAAAGATGTTAACAATAAAATAATATATAAGAAGACTGTTGTTGCCCTCAAACACTTGCCTAAATCTCCTGATAGTTTTATGCAGAATCGTCGAGCTCAACCATTATTATTTTCACACCCTTTGCTTGTACAAATTGTGTCACGTAGTCCCCTGAAACAATTAGTACTTGGCACAATGGTTTCTTAACGACCTAAGTCACTTTATCTTAATCGCCAGTGCTACTGAACCTTCTTTTTACCAGCATCTCTCTCCTCACATCCTGATACTCTCTAAGGAAGCAGTAAATATATAATCTCCTACTTATATTTACTTGAGGTGTACTTCAAGACCCCGGGCCAACGCATAAGCTGGACCGAATGACCTTGCAATTAACCTTGACCAAGGTTAATGACCTTGGCATTAACGGAAGCAGCCAGAACATAAGCTGATAACATATCACACTATGTTGATATATTTAATACCTTATTAATATCCCACATGTAATGTAATGCATCCATATGTCACCTAGCCACCTCACATATATATATATATATATATATATATATATATATATATATATATATATATATATATATATATATATATATATATATATATATAGATATAAAGAGTGTAAGAGATAATAATAGAATAATCTGAAGATTAACCCACCACTCTAACAAAATACAGGACATGTAAAGTGTCATACAGTACAAAGATAAATATAAGTTAGTTGTATTTATCAATTAATACGGAAAATTACCTGTAAAAGTGGCAGTTTGTGTTGAAGAAATGGCAAGTCTTTCCAGTTAATCTCATAAACAGTCTACGTCTTATTTTTCATTGGTTTATATTTAATGAGTTGCACGTTAAAAATATAGTTGTTTCCTATGGTATATTACTATTGATTAAAGAACTACCGGGCTTGTTAAAGTCTAATCATTCAGCGGGTTATTATCTAGGTCTGTAGACTACCTCGTTTGTAGGACTCAGCACACACACACACACACACACACACACACACACACACACACACACACACACACACACACACACACACACACACACACCTGGGGGCCTAGATGGCTGAGTGGACAACGCGCGGGATTCGTAATCCTAGGGTCCGGGGATCGATTCCCGACGATGGCGGAAACAAATAGGCAGAGTTTCTTTCACCCTGTTGCCCTTGTTCACCTAGCAGTAAATAGGTACCTGGGAGTTAAAGAGCTGCTGCGAGCTGCTTCCTGTGGATGTGTCTGCAAAAACCCCCCAGTTGATTGACAGTTGAGAGGCGGGCCTAAAGAGCCAGAGCTCAACCCCGCAAGCACAACTAGGTGAGAACAATTAAGTTAGTACACACACAAGGCGGGGGGGGGGGGTCCAAGAGATAATAGCTCTACACACACAAATCACAATAACGTGATGCATCAAATGAACAAATCCACAAGGGCCGTGCCGGGGATTCGAACCTGCGTCCGGGAGCATCCTCGTCACGGCCCTTGTGGATTTGTTCAGATAACAGCTCGATTCTGCAGACACAAATAGTAAATACCATGTATAGACGTAGTACATTGCTTCCATCGCAATGTACTACGAAATGTTAAGAGACGAGAGACAAAGTGCCACAGTACTTGTCAGAATTTGAATGTTATTATGATACGTCAGGCGAGAAGGAAGGATCCGCTCAGGTAAGAGTAGTAAATTAAAATAATATTAGCTGAGTGGCAAAAGGCAACGCGGAATCCAGAAAGCAGTCTCAGATAGAGCGCCATGTCACTCTTCCTTAATCTATCTCTCCAAAGTTGGACTCCTGCCAGTCTCTTGACTCTGTCAAACAAAACCTGGACTTTTTGTGGGTGGTTCAAGAGTCTATATTTTCTACATTATATCCAAAGATTTGTAGATATCATAAGTTTTGGAGGTTGGGTTGTATAAAATTGTTTATCTTCACGGATAAAGTAATTAAAAATTCATAAATAGACAGAATGTAAGACTTACGCGGGAAATATTATGTGCAGGCCATAAAGAGGCCAATAGTTTCCAACTGTGTCAACACAAGTCCAAATTCACACACATGTACAACTACGCACTAAACATGCATCACACACACACACCAGCGAATACACACACAGGTATAGACTCCTGCGCATACACAAACACGCGTACAGCGTTATGTGTATTAATTAGAACCCCCACACACTAATAGCCGCCACCCGCTCTCATTATGTGTATGTCCACCCCCAACCTTCTCTCTCTCTCTCTCTCTCTCTCTCTCTCTCTCTCTCTCTCTCTCTCTCTCTCTCTCTCTCTCTCTCTCTCTCTCTCTCTCTCTCTCTCTCTCTCTCTCTCTCTCTCTCTCTCTCTCTCTCTCTCTCTCTCTCTCTCTCTCTCTCTCTCTCTCTCTCTCTCTCTCTCTCTCTCTCTCTCTCTCCATATTTTTCTGACAGACTCCGTTATCAAGGATAAAAAGCACGCAGATAACAAATGTTTAATTGTAGTTTGCGTGTTGGAGTTGCGCGTGAGGTGAGCGTTGGGATACGTCACATGGGCGATAAAGCGTTTCCTGGGAGCGGAGACAGTGCCTCTGTTGTTCACTGACAGCGCTCCTGGGAGGAGCTGTGCTAGGCGGTGCAAGGAGGTCCGGCCAACAGTGCAGGCATGGAACGCTTCGCAGGCAGCACTAGTTGTAAGCTCTGTATCTCAACAAATGCCGGCGTGCTAGGGACAGGGAGTGGGTGATCAACTACCACTAATGTAACCAGGATATTTCCGCGAAGAGAAAAAAAATGTTATCCAACAGCAGTTGTAATGACACTTTTAATCACGTGATCCCGCACAAACACCAACCACATTGGGTGCTTGTGATATGGATTATCATGTCCCTAGTGCTGGTGGGTGAGTCTGTTCTCACCGTCTACGTCATTTGGATATGTCCCAGGATGAGGAGGAAGACGTCTACCAAGCTTGTCACTAACCTGGCCATCAGTGGAGGCTTGTGTGGCTGTCTCCTCATTCTCTTGACCACAGCAAGACTGACACACAGTGTGATAGAACCGACGGTGTGGTGCATCATCATCCTCCCACGTTACTTACACATCGTCTCCGTCCTCTGCCTCTCCTGTCTGGCTCTCGATCGCTACTTGGCCATCTGTTGGCCACTGCGGTACAACGATCTACTGACGGACTCCCGCTGCAAGGTTCTGGTCTTGGGCTGCTGGATTGTGCCAGTGTCAGGGCTCATCGTTCTCTATCTGAGTGCTGTCCTACGCTGCTCTTTCCACCCCAAACCGTTCGTCACGACGTACTTGACTGTGTTCACCGTGGCGTCCCTGGCGGTGGTGCTGATGTACGTACTGATGGCGCGAGAGTTCCGGCGGCGTCGACACGAGATGGAACATTCCAACAAAACTATGGAGGAGGACAACCGCCGCATCCGGGTGAAGACAGCCATTGATGTCCTCGTTATTGTTTTCCTCAACCTGCTCTTGGCTCTCCCTGATGTGAGTATGAGAACCAGGTGTTGGTGTTACACGGTTACTGAGCCTCCACCCTTCATTTAATCAAGATTAACTCCTGAAGTATACTTAACCTTTCCTTTACTTGTCTATATTCCATCTGTCATCATTCCCATTCTCTCGTCTCTCAGCTTTACTCCTCACCTCAATGGTTGCCGTCTTCTCCCTTCCCTTGTGTTCACAGCTTCTTCTCTGTTTTGATCATATCCAATGATGGATACGATCAATTAGCGAAAACTGTTTATATCTTTAGGTTAGAATGTATTAACTTAGGTTGTGTTAGGCTCGATTGGGTCAGGTCAGGATGTTTTTGGTAAGGTTTGGTATCATTTAAAATCAGTTGGCAAACTCTCTTCTTATCGATGTGATTCGTATCCATACAAAGATTCCAATAAGCGTGTTTACATAGTGAAGCCATAGAGGGGAAGGACCTGATGCCTGACCATATATATATATTAGCACCAAGCACCAGCCGCTGAACCACAACCAGAATCGTTTATCAACATTGAATTTTATTCATAATTGCACATGCATTTTACAGTTATTATTTTTACACATAACATAGAGGGATAAAATGCAATATTTTATACATTAAAAGAAATATACATTCAGCGTGCAATACTGGAACTGATGTAAATATATAAATATTGTACGTAATATAGTTTTGTAAGTAACTGAAATGTCATACATCAGTAGATACCAGGATTAACCTGGATCACCCTCAGCACACGCGGGTCATGTAACACAGGTACGACATCAATTCAATTTCTTTCTTTATTATGCACCCCATACCCATCCCGTGGACGGTAGTGGAAAGGGTTACAGAGGCACATAATCGGTTCAGGAACTGAACCTGATAGTTCGTTTAGCTCAGCGAGTGACAATCTTTTGAAGCTAGTTACACAATTGTTAATGTTATATATACATGTACATATATATATACACAATCATTTACACAAATACATATTCACGTGGATAACCTTGTGTATCACAAGTAATTCAAGTAATTCATCAAGAGGCTCACAACAGTTACTATGCTCACTGCTCAATCTTTAGTTTATTTTCTTAATCCTGTTGAAAGCTCGAGTGTGTGAAAGTGGTGATGATGGATGGATGACTCCGTGGGCGAGGTTGTGTGTTGTGGCGGGAAAGCTGGTCATGCTGGATCCATAGATAAGCAGACAGGCGGTGGCCATACTCCCCTCACTATCGGTAATACAACAGGACGTGGTGTCCCCTCTGGCCGACCCCCTTCTACCTCAGCCCAGGTCATCCTCGCTCTCTAAACGATGGACGCTCCTCTGCCTTGCTAAGACACGTTGTCGACCCCCTTCTACCTCAGCCCAGGTCATCCTCGCTCTCTAAACGATGGACGCTCCTCTGCCTTGCTAAGACACGTTGCCTAATGAAACGAGACAACGCTAGAGTTAATGAATTATCAAAGAAAACATGCACTGTACGAGAGTATTGGTGTTTCGAGGAAGGAACGATTTAATACGGAACTCTGGTGTGTGTGTGTGCTGGGGGGTGGGGGGGGGGGGGGGGGGTTAGAGAAGACGCTCTGTTCACAACTGTTGGGCAACGTTGACTGAACAAGGTGGGGGGGTGGGGGTGGGGGAGTAAGTGGAGTGTGTATTCACCCAGTTGTATTCACCTAGTATTGCGGGGGTTGAGTTCTGCTCTTTCGGCTCGCCTCTCAACTGTCACTCAATCAACTGTTACTAACTACTAACTATTTTTTTTACACACACACACAGGAAGCAGCCCGTAACAGCTGTTTAACTCCCAGGTACCTATTTACTGCTAGGTAACAAGGGGGCGTCAGGGTGAAAGAAACTCTGCCCATCTGTTTCCGCCAGCGCCGGGATCGAACCCGGACCCTAGGATTACGAGTCCTAAGCGCTGTCCACTCAGCCACAGGCCCCCACTGTGTACTCACCTAATTGTTTATATTATGTGTGTGTGTGTGTGTGTGTGTGTGTGTGTGTGTGTGTGTGTGTGTGTGTGTGTGTGTGTGTGCGCGCGCGCGTCTCCCTGCGTGCTGGCAGGGCAGGAGTTTATCAGTATGTCTTAAAATATATTTAGAAAAATAAGCAACCGCATGTCAAGTCAAATAAGCGACCAGGTTACGAGGAGATATTTGCAAATCATCACGGCCATAAGCCAGCATTTTCAACATTGCTGGTCATAATTGACGCGAAAAATAACATTAATAGACAGATACCAATAGGCTTTACATCGCGAATAATTTTGGCAACCAAACCCGACTAAGTCATTGCGCGTGAAGCCCTGAATGACTCAGCAGATGTAACAAGTCTCTACCATGCCTCTGTAAACACAGTGACTCAGCGATCACCCCGCCATGTCCTCCAACACTTTATGGTGTCAGAAAATAAATAAATAAATAATATATATATTTCGTTGAAAACGACAGAAAGTTTTAGATTTATGATTCAGGCACGAATCTTGTTGATATTCCTTATGTTTTTCTTCACTGAAGCAGGAAGTTGAAAAATTAACTCTCCAAAGTTCATTTTTACTTTTTATTTGGGTCTGACAGCTAGTGATACGTTTCGTAAGGTCTCTCCTTACATTCTTAAAGACAAAAAGATAAATTCTACTATGCTAGCACCTGGTTATATCCTCTTATGGTGAGGTGACATATGGATGAATGATATGGTTGATATTAATAAGTTATTAAATGTATCAACATAGAGTTTGACATGTTGGCAGCTTATGTTTTTCTGACTGCTTCTGTTCCTGTTGCAGGGTCATTCGGTTCAGCTTCTGCGCTGGTCAGGGGTCTATGTCTTACAGAGTATTTATTACCAATTGTCTAATGCTTTGTTTGTTCATTTGTCAGAAATTTCTCACCAAATTGATTGGAAGAGGGTTTCTGCAATAACGAATTTTAAAATCATTTTCAATAGGAACATTATTGAATCTGGTTCAATACAGATTTCAAAATCGTGTAATTTGAGTATTAGCAGTGGTTTGTATAATTTAAATCCATTTTTGATTGAGCAGTTCAAGGGTGATTTGAGTAGGATTATTGATACACATTTATCTCACTAATACCTTATTAATATCCCATTGTCTTATTAAAGACATTGTACATCACCTCTTGCCTGCCTATATATCCACACCCACTGAACTGTAAATCCATCCTTTTGAAGATGAATTATTAAATACGAAAGTACTTAAAGAAATTCCTGTCTTAATCCTTCCTTCGTGGTCTGACATTGTCACATTGTTCATCATGTGTTAATTTCTTCTTGATTTACACACACACACACATTATATATAGTGAAATATATATGTGTAAATCACGAAAATTAATACGTGATGAAAAATGTGACAGTGTCAGACCACGAAGGAAGGATTGAAACAGGAATTTCCTTAACTACTTTCGTATTGATCTTTCTGAAGATGTATTATTAAATGCGAAAGTACTTAAGGAAATTCCTGTTTCAATCTTACCTTCGTGGTCTGACACTGTCTCTTTTTATATATATATATATATATATATATATATATATATATATATATATATAATTTTTTTTTTTTTTTTAAATAAAGGGAGTACCACCTCTAGCTGGTATAGAGTTTGGTATAGAGCTGGTATAGAGCTAGAGCTTGGTATAGAGCTGGTATAGAGAGAACGCTATATATATATATATATATATATATATATATATATATATATATATATATATATATATATATATATATATATATATATATATATATATATATATATATATATATATATATATATATATATATATATATATATATATATATATAATGGTACTAAACAAGCCTCTTTTTCTTATGACAGTTTTACTGATAGCATTATGAATTCCTTTTCAAGTATTACTTGCTATATTAAACTCAGAAGACGTGTATCCCATTGTTCAAACATATCTGCCTGTAGTGAGAGAAGACGCTGGTGGTAAAAAGGTGAGCCAGATGATGATCTTGGTAACTATAACTGCGGGGTACTAGAGCAGCTCTCATACAAGATGCTGACAGATCCCTCAGGTTATAGCTAGAGTACCTCTATGCTGAGTGACGCCTGACCACGGCGCCTCAGCTGTGTCAGCAGCAGGATGGAGTCCCCCATTAGTGACCAGCATGTCACTTCCTGTGGTCTTGTCAACTGAGGTTAGAAACCATTTTAAACAAATATTTAGATACATCAGAAGCTCGTCTTAGTTGAAGGAACAACCACAGCAACACCGCACATTCTTTCAGTATATATGTGGAGTAATAACTATAGGAAACCTGCACTAATACGGTACATTTTATGTGCAGGTGATAATGAACCTACTGAGGGTGGTGGAGGCGGTAGAGTGGAACCAGCGCTATAACGTGGCCCCGCTGCTGTTGGTGTTCCACGAGGTGGCGTGCCTTCCCGTCCTCGCCTGGAGGAACGCTGACTTCCGGGCCACCCTCTACGCCAGCTGTCGCCGTCTCCGCAAGAAGTTATGGACAAGTGACAGTGTCAAGACCACCCAAGACAGTCAGATCTCCAAGGACATTCCCCAGACCACCCAAGACAGTCAGATCTCCAAGGACATTCCCCAGGCCACCCAAGAGAGTCAGATCTCCAAGGACATTCCCCAGGGCACCCAAGACAGTCAGATCTCCAAGGACATTCCCCAGACCACCCAAGACAGTCAGATCTCCAAGGACATTCCCCAGGCCACCCAAGACAGTCAGATCTCCAAGGACATTCCCCACGCCACTCAAGACAGTCAGATCTCCAAAGACAGTCAGATCTCCAAAGACATTCCCAAGGTCACCCAACACAGTTAGATCTCTAAGGACATTCCCAAAGCCACTCAAGACAGTTAGACCTCCAAGGAATAGTTCCGGTGCTCTGCAATCCAGCCATTGGGACTTATTATGTCCCAAGTGTTTTATGATACATTAATTTCCTGAACACTAACAGCTAATGGAGCACACCGACACGAAACTGCCCCGTAACACATAGAAAACGTTTATGCATGACAAAATATCTTATAAAGATTCTACTCTACCCTAATAACTCTGTATTCATCCAGCTGACTTGGGGAAGTGTTGTGGTTTGCTAAAACCCTTAATAATGGTGTCAAGAAGCCATCTCAACCCTACTGTTGGTGTCAAGAAGCCATCTCAACCCTACTGTTGGTGTCAAGAAGCCATCTCAACCCTACTGTTGGTGTCAAGAAGCCATCTCAACCCTACTGTTGGTGTCAAGAAGCCATCTCAACCCTACTGTTGGTGTCAAGAAACCATCTCAACCCTACTGTTGGTGTCAAGAAGCCATCTCAACCCTACTGTTGGTGTCAAGAAGCCATCTCAACCCTACTGTTGGTGTCAAAAAGCCATCTCAACCCTACTATTGGTGTCAAGAAGCCATCTCAACCCTACTGTTGGTGTCAAGAAGCCATCTCAACCCTACTGTTGGTGTCAAGAAGCCATCTCAACCCTACTGTTGGTGTCAAGAAGCCATCTCAACCCTACTATTGGTGTCAAGAAGCCATCTCAACCCTACTGTTGGTGTCAAGAGGCGATCTCAACCCTACTGTTGGTGTCAAGAAGCCATCTCAACCCTACTGTTGGTGTCAAGAAGCCATCTCAACCCTACTGTTGGTGTCAAGAAGCCATCTCAACCCTACTGTTGGTGTCAAGAAGCCATCTCAACCCTACTGTTGGTGTCAAAAAGCCATCTCAACCCTACTATTGGTGTCAAGAAGCCATCTCAACCCTACTGTTGGTGTCAAGAAGCCATCTCAACCCTACTGTTGGTGTCAAGAAGCCATCTCAACCCTACTGTTGGTGTCAAGAAGCCATCTCAACCCTACTGTTGGTGTCAAGAAGCCATCTCAACCCTACTGTTGGTGTCAAGAAGCCATCTCAACCCTACTGTTGGTGTCAAGAAGCCATCTCAACCCTACTATTGGTGTCAAGAAGCCATCTCAACCCTACTGTTGGTGTCAAGAAGCCATCTCAACCCTACTGTTGGTGTCAAGAAGCCATCTCAACCCTACTGTTGGTGTCAAGAAGCCATCTCAACCCTACTGTTGGTGTCAAGAGGCGATCTCAACCCTACTGTTGGTGTCAAGAAGCCATCTGAACCCTACTGTTGGTGTCAAGAGGCGATCTCAACCCTACTATTGGTGTCAAGAAGCCATCTCAACCCTACTATTGGTGTCAAGAAGCCATCTCAACCCTACTATTGGTGTCAAGAAGCCATCTCAACCCTACTATTGGTGTCAAGAGGCCATCTCAACCCTAATATTGGTGTCAAAGAGGCCATGCCGCAGGGCTCTCTGCACGCCCACATCTTATCATCATTTCAAACTCAAATTCGTATTCAAAAGAATGTGTGTACAAAGAACATAGTACTAATGTACCAGTGTGGGGACGCTACACTAACTAATGAAGCCACTACACAAAGCGTTTCGGGCAAAACTTAAATAATTTAGGAAAAAAAGGATTTTATAAGTGTGGAGGTGTAAACTCTTAATACTTAAAGAGACATAACTTGACAAAACTGAGAAAATTCAAGAAAAATAACAACTGAATACAATAAAAAAGGTGATACTGAATGGTGACAGACAATTACATTAAGGAGTCAGTAGTTCTAGCAAGAGTACAATAGTTTATTTACATTAATGACAGATTGGAAATACTAAGGTGTAATTTAGAAAAGCAACGAACAGAACAGAACAACATTGAGTAATATGGTATAATTTAAGTATAATGGCGCCAGCACTTAAAAATAAACAAGGATCATAAAGAACAAGAGTAAACACTTTATAAATGAAATATTAACTGACACTTAATGAAGAAAGGACATAATTATTAGTAAATAAAAATTAAAATAAGATTAACACAAAAAATAACTTATTGGGAAAATGCGAGAGAAATTAGTTGCATTATATTAAGAAAATATTTGTTTAGTATCTTTTTTTAAACTGGTTGGGAAACGTACAGTTTTTAACTCCATTTTGGGAGGTCATTCAACAATTTGGGATCCTTGTTTTGCATAGCATTTCTGCTTTGGCCGAGTCTTACTCTAGGAATATCAAAAATATATTTGTTTCTCATGTGGTGACCGTGAGTTCTAGTACAGTCTTCTAGGAAGCGCTTAAGGTCACGATTGGCATTGCAGTTCAGAATTTTATAGATACAGAAAACGTTTAAGAGTACGTGCAGATACTTGATATTTAACATAAGTAAAGATTACAGTAAGGGAGCAAAGTGGTGTCTGAGACTGGAATTCGTTACTGATATTGTTACATCAATAACAAAAGAATTTATTTGTTATTAAATTCCAAATGATTTATTATTAATTATATCAACAATGATACTGGGGTGACCAGTAATATCAAGGTAGAAGACGGCACAAAGATATGGCGTGAAGCGAATACAAGATATGAATGATTAACGACATAAAAAGCAAATTCCTTAAAGTAGAGAGAGAGAGAGAGAGTGGTGGTATATACACATCATTAACACAGTCGCGGGTAGCCCACATTGTGAGCGACGTGGGAGTCATGGTTAGTACCGACCCGAGGCCCAGAGAGTAAGGACTCAATGCACGAAATAAAGCGATTACGGCGCTGGGATTTATAATAAGACGCGTCCGGAACGGAAGCAAGAATATCATCCCGCGGAGATATCTAGTGCGGGCTGAGGCCCCACTTACCCCAACTGTGCGCTGTGTGAGACAGAACATGAACTAGGAACATTACAAAGAATGACGAGGCTTTGATTTTTAAGTAGTGTATTGCGAAGAATAATAAAAAACAGCAGCTCCCTTATGACTCTGTAATATCTCCTTTGCTCAAACAATTATGCATTAGCGATAAGACCTACCATTAATGTATAATGACTTACTGTAAATATATAGCTCTTGAAATAGAACATTCTCTGTAACTAGATGATATTGTAATTATAAGGTGTGAAGAATAGATGAAATTGTTAATATAATAATCTCCGTTGAGGTCTGATAAAGACCTTCTGTGTCCTCTGTAATCCTTTTTGCGCTACCGCTCACAGGATGAGTATGGGGTGCACAATAAATTGAAATTGAAATTGAAATAAGTTTATTGAGGTAAAATACACACAAAGGGATGAGGTAGCTCAAGCTATTCTCACCCCGTTCAGTACATCGTGTTAATACATACATATACACACATCACAAACAATAAACATATTACCAAACATTCTGAGAGATAAACATCAGAATGTTTGGTAATATGTTTATTGTTTGTGATGTGTGTATATGTATCACAATAAATTAGCCGCCACCGGCGGTAACAATAAAAAAAAATTTGATCAAAGTTTTAAGTGATATAGGGACACAAGAAGAGGGATGTGAACAAGATTGTGAAAGGTTGTGAACAGGTCAGAGGCCGGCACTTTCGGTACACGCTGGAGAAATTTCGAGTTAGGAGGAATATAGGGAATTACTGGGCTGGAAAAGGTGTTTTGGATGAGAGGAATGGGCTGTCATTTAGGATTAGTGATACGAACAGTTTATTTAACAAGTTTCATAATTGGAAAGCTATATGGGGTGATAAGGGGAGCATTTAAATGGGACGGGCTTAGGATGACCTAAGAAGCCTCTTGTCTTTCCTAATTCGCATGTTCTTATTACCAGTCATAATATTACATATATTGCTAACACTATCCCTAATTCCCCTGTCCTGATTCTCAAACCCTTTGTCTATTTTTGACATTCTAAGCACAAAATGTCTCACCCTTATAGCTCACCTGTGAACCCCGACAACCTTATTCACGCCCGTGCCACCTCTTGGGTGACCTAATGTTTATCAGTCAATCAATCCCTACAGCCAAGGTTATCTTACCTACTGATTTCGTCAGCTTACCTTACAGGTAAACTACCTCCCCCTAGCACCCATCTTCTAGTGCACTGAACGCTCCTGGGGTCTCAGCTGCGCTGGTTGTTGCTTTAGATTCAGCTACTGGGAACCAAAAGTTGCAAGCAGCAGCAGCAGCACGGGATATGGCGAGCCCGTCGTACTCACCTGGCACAGGAAATGTGGGCTGAGCTGCGCCACACGTACACCGCTTCACCTCGGTGGTCACGTCACGGTACTTCACCGTAATCACACCACACAGGAAGACATGCTCGCTAGTTACGATTCCTTATGACTCACTGACGCGTGATAACAATCTAAAATGGATTGTTGAGTCTAATGAACCGTTTGGGAAAAGAAACCTGTTTATAGTCCAAGAAATACTGGAGACGTTTCTCTAAAACAATAATAAAATACACTAGCAGAAACTGTGAATAAGAAGACTTACAAGGTTAATAAGAAGAGACAAAGAGGTTTTTGAGAGAGTTACACCTCATTAATTCTGCCTCTGCGTTATCTCCGACAACATTTCCTGTCCTCAGTTCATTTGTCATGCATATCCTTTAAATAAGTTTTCTTATTATTATCAAGGAAAAAATGCCTATTTATCAGCCACTGCGGTACAACGATCTACTGACGGACTTCCGCTGCAAGGTTCTGGTCTTGGGCTGCTGGGCTGTGCCGGTGTTAACGTTCATCGTACTACTCCCAAGTACCAAGTTCAGCTGTTTCCATCCCTCACCGTTCCTCACAGGGTACTTGACTGTGTTCACCGTGGCGTCCCTGGCGGTGGTGCTGATGTACGTACTGATGGCGCGAGAGTTCCGGCGGCGTCGACATGAGATGGAACATGCCAACAAAACTATGGAGGAGGACAACCGCCGCATCAGAGTGAAGACAGCCATTGATGTCCTCGTTATTGTTTTCCTCCACCTGCTCTTGGCTCTCCCT